CAAGAATTATATGAGTCAGAAGAGTAAGAAGTGGGGGGAATACAGTGATTCACACTCTATCAACATGATTGATTGATTTACATACCCATTATAGATATTTAAAAGGGATTTTGCGCACCCCAATTGATGCATATTGACACCAATTTCTTCATACTTTTTCTATTAAGATCATTCCTCTGTAACGGTACTGATCATTACATTGAGGAGCTGAAAAGGAAGAAGTAATTGGTTTTGTCTTTGTCCTTTTCCAGAAGCACAACTGGGCAGTTCTTTGTCTGGTTGCCCCCTTCCCTTAGTTATGCTACTGTTCTTTTCTGCCCTCCATGTTCTACAAGTATTTTTTGAGGTGAGATGGCCCAGGTTGACAAATTCTGTTGGTCTGTGATGTGCAAAGCTGTCCTCAGCATTTTCAGGTTGGCCTCAAAGGCTGCGTATACACAAGATGCTTTACTGCGCAATAGCATAGTGTACTGCACAGTGTGCATGTGCGTCTACATGTTTACATGCTTACTGTGCAATAAACCTCACTAATTACAGGTAAATTTGCTACCTGAAAATGCAAGTAGCAAATTTACTTGTGATTAGTTACTGAGCAGTAGTGCTTCTGTAGATGCCTGATTATGAGCAAATCTGCTCCCAATCAGCAAGCCACCAGCAGGCAGGAAATTGCTCCCTGCCCCTGAGAGCTGCTTGCTGTTGGGGTGGGCTCCACCACTGGAGCCCAGAAAGAGATTATGTCCCCCTGCCCCAGCAGCAGGGAGCTCCAAGCCCCCCTACTCCAAGATTGTGATCCTTTTTTCTCAGGATCTCCCAGTCCCAATTTTGCCACTGCGATCAGGGAGCAGGGGGCTGGGAGGTCTTCATGTCCCAGCACTGGCCCTGAGACTGTGAAGCCAAAACTGGGAGTTTCCTACTGGTGCAGACTGGTGGGAGCTCTCCAGCCTGTTCTCCACCCAGCTCCATGGTCATAGAGCCAAGCAGGGAACAGGCTCTCTAGCCCCCGCCCCATGATTGGGGAGTAGGGGCTGGGAACTGTCCTGTTTCTTTGCTGGGTGATCAGCAGAGGGATTTAGTGATGGGCAATAGCAGCCTGGGTACCATGGAAACTGAGGTGGGGGTTTCAATCCATTCATCCACCCTCCTCGCGCTCAAGCACAGGCTGGGCAAACCCCAAACCAGAACTAAGACATACAGCCTCCCTCCACTGGATTGGCTCCAAGGTGGATCTCAATCCCCTCCCCCAACCAAATAGCGAATGCCTATTTCTGGGAAGCACCATGAGTTACAACAGGGAGCTCATGTCTGTCAGCAACCTCAGTTTTACATGTGGTACAAAATAGGACCTGAGTTCAGGTTTACAAAGGTCAAAGTCAAATTCACTAAGGTCCCAATTCACTAAAGTATTCAGGCATTTTGCTTATGTCCATCCCCACGTAAAAAATTATTGGAACATAGTTTATAATAGGCCAACTATTCACATGTTTACAATACCTTACTGAAATGAAGCTAATTTTGTGTATCAACTAGCCATTATGACTGTGCAAAGCTTCGGTTGCTGATTCAATTTGGTGGAGATTCGGCCCAATTTGGTGGCTGAATCTCCAAATTTGAACCAAATCAGGATACCCTTTAATCTCTCCGAATCGAATCAGAACCCTCCAAATCGATTTGGAGCGATTTGGACCAATTCGACAATTCAGACATAAACACAGCCTTAAATGTTTTTTGTACATACCTCAGGGTACCAGGTGGCTTGTGAATGCTGCAATGGCAAGGCAGATGGAGTGTCCCACAGGAGCTCAGGGGGTCCCCAGAGTGCTCAGCAGCAGACCCAGAAGTGGACCAGAAGCACTTCCGGTCCACTTCTGAGTTCACCGCCAAGCTGGGGGGCGGGGGCGGGAGAGGGGGGGGGCCTGCGCACCTGTGGGATGCTCCATCCACCCCACCATTGTATCATTCACAAGCCATGCCTGGTACTTTGAGGTATGTAGAAAAAACATTTAAAGCTGTGTCTATGGTCGAATCACTGATTCTCTGAATCAGTATCAAATCTTCAGATTTGGATTCGGCCAAATTGAATCGGGGACAGTAATCTGAATCAACAAATCGAATCACTGTCCTCGATTCGGGCCGAATCCAAATTGAATATGGCCCATTTTGCACTCCCCTACTAGCCATGTATGTTGTACGGGTTTCTTTATGAGAATGCTGTTTAATAGAGATGAGAATGAGAATGAGAATAATAATTTAATTATTACTAACATAGCAGGATGTTTGCACACTAAGTTATAACAAGGTTGTGTGTAACAATAACAGTCTATTTACATATCAAAAATAATGTGTCATCACGATGGTTTTGCATACAGATGCTCTTCTGAACCAAAGAATAGAAAAGAAAGGTTATATTTTGCATCCATGATAACCCATTTATATAGAACTGGGTTCTGGAAATGTTATATTTAATAATATGTAACCTCAAGCCATTTTTGTAAAATTATTCCAGCATCAATTCCATTTGCTACAGATAATTCTGTCCAGGGCTTCCAGGTATCACCATATCAGCAAGATAACAATGATGCACAAAACTTCCATCCATTCCTTTTGCAAAGTAACTCTAGATATAGACTAGGTTTCAGACAAATGCATTGTGCTAATACTTTTGCTTTTCCTTATATTATTATTGGCAGTAAGCTACAACCCAGAATTGTCATCTGACATTATTTGCTGATTTATCTATGACAGATTTAATTTGTTAGCAAAAACCATTTTGCCATCTGCCTGCCAGCTTTGCATATGAATTCTGAGAAGTCTCAAAGTCAGTTGCAACTTGTTTAGTTTGTAGCTAGGTATGGGCTGCTACTTGCAATTAATCACTATGTACTAAAAATTCCTAGCAGAGCAGCCAATTTAAAAATACATATGCAAAGTATTCCACTGGAGACTGCATTCTGACACAGTTCAGTCTCTGATTTTTGTTCCTCTTGAACCAAGTTATAATCCAATGTAAATTGAGATGTCAACCTATTGTATGACTTTTACATTGGACTTCAGGAAATAATGAAGATCCAGGATTTATATATATATAATCTTTCCCCTTCATCCACAGCCAAATTTCAAACTTTTCATGTTTTTAAAAAATTCTGCTAAGGACCTTCTAAATCTAATGCCTGCTTTTGTACTTCTACATTTCAGTTGCATCTGGAACTCAGAAGTGATACCAGCAGAGAGATTGGTAGGACAGCTCACATGACTTGAGTACTGTCATGCATGGGTATAATCCAAGTGTAGGCAAAGTCTGGCCCACAGGCCAGATCAAGCCTGCAGTGGACTCCATTTCCCAGCAGCCCCTGCCTAGGTCACTGGAGCCAGTTTCCATGGAGACCCCAGTAGCAGTGGGTGCTGGACAGCACAGGGCCAGAGTTTTCATGGAGACTAGCCCCAGAAGCACTGGTAGGGCATGTGGCTGGGTGGGAAGCTGCTCTGGGGCCAGGGCTGGGATCTTGCACTGGTGACAATGTGGTGCAGAGCCACAGCAGAGCTACAATCCACTGCCTGTGCGCCCTGGGCAGAGGCATCAACCACAAGATGATTAAGTTCAGGATCCTGAGGAAAGGAAGGATGGGGAGCAGCAGAGTAATGACCCTGGACTTCAAAAAAGGAGAGTTGGACTCACTCAGGAAACTGATGGGCAGGATCCCCTGGGAGGCCAGTCTAAGTTGGGGAGGAGTCCAGGAGAGCTGGCTGTATTTTAAAGAAACCTTACTGAGGACAGAGGAATGAACCATCCCACTGTGCAGGAAGACTAGCAAGCATGACAGAAACCAGCTTGGTTTAGCAGGGAACTCTTTAGTGAGCTTAAAAAAAAAAGGAAGCTTAAAAGAATCAGAAACTTGGACAAATGACTAGGGAAGAGTATAGGAGTATAAGAGCAGTGGTGCTCAAGAGTATAAGAGCACCACTGCTCAAGTATTGCTCAAGCATGCAGGGATGAAATCAGGAAGGCCAAAGTGCAATTGGCATTGCAGCTAGCAAGGGATATGAAGGGTAAAAAAAAGGGCACATCCACATGAGTGTGCACATGCATTTTGCAACACTTCAAAGGCTTTTGAGGTGCTACAAAATGCACCCACATATGTGATTTGGTTCTCTGCAATGAATATTTGCAGCACAGAGCCAAAATTTAGCTACTGGGAATCCTGGTACCAAAAAAAGCACACTGAAAACAGTGGCACAGGGTACAAGGCAACAGCATGTGCCACCCAAAACCAGAGCCTGGCCAGCCAGAGCCAAACTGCAGCTGTCAGCCAGGCTCCACATGCCCAGATCACTGCTGCTGCAGCCCTGGGAGGCCCCCAGGACCCAAAGTAAGGCTGCTGGGGCTAGCTCAGGTGCTGACCCCAATGTCACCTACGCCACCCAGAGCAATTTGCCCTGTGCCAGAGCATGCATGCAGAGGCGTTCCTTAGGGACAACTAGCAGTGGCACAAATGTGTGTTGCTGCTGTTTGTCCCCAGGGAAACACACATGCATGATCATCTGAATAGACCCAAGGATTTCTATAAGTATGTCAGCAACAAGAGGAAAACCAGGGAAAGTGTGGGTCCCTTAATGATTGGGGGTGGCAACCTAGTAAGTGGGAAAAAATTAATTACTCAATGCCTTTTTACCTCAGTTTTCACAGCTTGCTACTTGCTGGTGCAAGAGATCCCAGGATCCTGATCCCAGGCTCCCCCTTCATTGGCAATAGGGTGTAATTGGGATCTGATCCCCAATCCCACAGTTGCACCCACTACCATGTACATGTGGCTTGGCAGGAGGTGGAATCGTTGGGATCACAGATAAAATCCCATTGTGCCTTTAATTGAATTATCAGTGGCCTAACAGAGGACACACAGGCTAGGTACAGACAGTCAAAAAGCCCAAGGCTGAATCGATTCAGTCTTTGCAGGTTAGTCTAAACTGCACAGATTAAATTGAAACAGAAGTGAACAGACATTTACCTTTGATTCAGGAAATGAAGCTATATGCCTACAGTGGCTCAGGCCAGATGCTTGAAAGTGCTAGAGTAGAGCTCTGTGGCGGTGTGTTCACTTCCTCTTCCTGGTACCCCCAAGGTCTCTGGGATTTGTAGTCCAAACTTCCAGCAGCAGGACTCTGCAAGGTTACTAATCGCTTCCTTTTCCTGCTTCCAGGTGCCTCTGGGATTTGTAGTCTACTGTTGTAGTCAGTAGTAAGTTTGATCTGGGGAGGGGTGTTTAACCCCCATCCCTGGCCCCAGGCTCCAGCTGGGGTTTGACTGGGATGAGCAGTCCCCCCCACACAGACTGGGTTGCATCTCCAGCTGGGCTTCCCCCCAACATCAGCCCCTTGTTGGTCAATCCTCACTGCTCCAGCTAGGGAGAAGAGGGATGGGGCCAGCCCTGCTCTCTGGAGCAGACAGCACTGCATAGCACAGAGCTGCAAAGCATGCTGGGATGCTGAGGGCCTGTGATTTAACTTGAACCAGGAAGGGGTCTGGGACAGAAGTTTTATAAATTGGTTTAACCCAAATCAGTTAAATCTGATACTACATTCAACGAGGTTTATCTGAAACCAGTTTCACCCATTTTGAAAGTGATTTATGTGCACCGAGCTTCTGTTCTGTTACAAGTTTAAACCAGGTTCTGATGACTTAAACCTCTTTATGTGTAG